ACCGCGTTCGAAAGCCAAATCAACTTCTAACGGATTTATGTAGCGATAATTGCCGACAGATCGTTAAGACTTACTACGCTTTATCAGTTATCGATGTAACCTCCTGATTTAGAAGAGGTTCATTGCGATAAAACACTTACTCCGGGCGAGTGGATTTATAAACTAAATGCATCTTTAGAAACTCATTTGTATAACGCGTCCCGTCGGAATGCATCTAGAACGATTTTTGGCTGATCGTCTTAGTATTAGTTGAAGATATCAAATTACACCCGACTGGGGAGCATTTGTAAATGCGGTATTGATAAACCGGTGTTTGATATAGAGTGTCAAAACCGTAAAGATCCAACAACAGTCCCTGCGATGAAATAAGACGATGGAGTGATAAAGACAATGTAAAGAATTGAATAATACCGAAGGAGGGAGGATTATGAATGCATACGAATCTCGAAATAATCAGACAGCATGGTAAGGAAAAAGGCGAAAACCCATTCTGACAATCACCGTGATTCCCAAAGCGTGGCATAACCGAGGGATCTCGAATCTAGTAAAGAACGACCGAGTAATCACTCTATGCGCTGCAAAAGATCAAACAGCAATGAGATGATATTTAAAATACCAAGCGAATCGGAAATAAAAGCTGTCCTCCCAGAGGAATTAGCGGGCGAGAATCCGATCTTAATCCATAGAATAATTACTGGCAAAAGAAAAAACTTTGTCAGTAAACCAGCGATTGCTGATTTCTCTTAGCATTGACTGAATTCGGCTACAGGGGGCAAACACAAATATAAACATACTTTCAAAGCGTATAAAAATGCTTCGCCGAAGGAATCAAAGATCTATAGATGCGAGTAGTCTTTCACATTTATTACATAATTTCGTTGAGCCTTTTTCTAAGTAACTATACAGCAAAGCATGTTAAACCACGCATATCTTTTATTTTGTTTTCCTATTAGGTTTCGGTAGATTTAACTCGTAAGTTGGAGTAGTGTCTTACTTTCTAGTTACATGACTTGAAGATTGTATTACTATATGCTTACTAGTAAATTCAGAAATAATGCCGAATGCTGATTCTGACTTGTTTGTAAATTCAACGACAGTTATACCATAAAGCTACTCAGCAAGCATATTCAAGCAGTAACAAGGAGCAAGGAAGAAAGTTTGCCAACAGTACTGGAGACTACTCTTTTAAACTGACTAAGGAAATTTTATCATGGGTGATTATTATCGTTATCCAGATTTCAACGTTGTTATCGTGATTAGATGCTCCCTTATGTTTGGGCTTGAGTAACATTCCCATAGATTCTGTCTGCAATGGATAAATAAACAGGCAAAATGTGCATAAGAAGACGTAATCAAAACAGATTGCGCTAGAAATTTGTATAATAGCTCCATTCATTGATTTGTTGATAACCACATGATGGTTTACAGATTTGATCACTTGCATTCAGTTTCGAGCACAAACATGGTTAAGTATTATTGGCTTTTATATAATGTTAGTGCATAACATTTCTGCCTCAATTCCAAGTCCCTTTCTTTTGGCATAAGAAGAATAAATTTTATGCAAATTACGTCACGAATTCATATCACAAGTTAATCCCATCTGCATAATGATCGGTTATGCAGGTTAGTATAAGACCAAATATAGTAAGTGATCGTTATATATCTAATGCACAAAACTCCATATACATTTATTATTTTATTTCCAGCTGAGGGCGGCAGGCAGTAAGAAAGGTGCATACATTGTTTATCCGAATGCTCAACATTTGTTATCAGGATACCTCAATACCCTCGAGATGAAGCGATCTTATTTACTGATTTGTCAGTTTTTTGTTTACGAGTCTAGAATTGAACTAGTCCTGGCCCAGAGTCGGCGCACAACATATGATACTGCATAACTATAATCCGATGCAAAATTACATCAAAATTGCATCCTCAACCTATTACAATCAGAAATATTTTATTATAGACTCGCACAAGGTAGCACAACTTGCTGTTGTTTGAGACTTATAAACGCTTTAACGTCGACAAGAGATGCCCTGCTACGCGATCAACTAATAAAATTACAAGAATTAAAATAATAATAATGAAAGTAAGTCGTACGTGCTTATAATCTTGGTACAAGTTGGAATAAGAAAAGTTTCTATTGTTTCTTTTTCTCACCATTGTCTTTCATGTTCTTTCAGAAGCTGACTGAGCATATTGTGTCTTGTTATCAAATTTATTATTTTCGATATGCTCAGCTTCCGGCAATCTTTACCTCTTCTCCGCTCTCCAAGGGTGTGGGAGGTTTAAAGTGTAAGTCTCCTTATTGAAATGAACGATCAATGTCAGCATATTACTAACTACATGTTTTTTTTTCGTAAAGGTTTATCTCCCGCTTACTTTTGGCTCTTTAAGAGCATTTAATTAATGTAAGTCATTCATTAACCTCGCGGAGAGGTGGTGGTCTTGCACAAAATTTTCTAATTCTCTTACTATTTTGTTTCCTATACAGTTTAGTTGTAGAATGATATATTCAACATATCATTCTCACCCTAATTCTTGGGTGGGTCCCACTATTTACGCGGACATTTATTAATGTAAGCTTCTCATTAGCTTTAATGTCAATTTGGCTTATTCAAATTTTCTTGGTCTCTAACCGCTTGATATTAAAATCTTGTACAGTCTTCGAAATTTGCAGATCGATTCTAGAATAATCTGCAAAAAATATCGAAATCTGATTGGTGCTCGACATTGTTAGCATAGAGAACTAATCTATCGATAAAATTTTGAAACCAACGATAGTAATAGAAACATACTTTTACGAGTATACAGTTTCATAATCCCCAGGAATCCCCACAACTTTACATAATAGCTTTCTATTAAATTAGGTTTAAAATTTACTCCTCGTTGTACTATGAACGCAAAAGTAGCTCCCAAAAACTTACCTTGTCTGTTCCAACGACTATGACGAAAGTCAGTTAACAAGATGTGGGACTAAGCAGGGCCAAAAATGGCAGCTAATGTTGCAGCAAAGGAAATAAAAGAAACGGTTAAGTATTTCTCGGAACTATCGTTAGAGAATTACTCATTGTGCGAAAGGCACTATAACTAAATTGTCGTTAATAAGTCCATTAATAAACGAGTCACTAAAACAAATGATTCAATCGTTTTAGATTCAGAAGAAAAAGAGAGAAAAAGACCAAAACCCTCTAGCGATATCGAGTTGTTAGAATTCGAAAAGACTTCTGAATTTGGAGTCCAAGTATCCTTGCTGGATCCAGCATGTGAAGATCATATGAACTCTAAAAGATGTCAATCGGCAATTATTATCTGAGAATGCAGCATTAAAGAAGCGGTTAGATGAGCATTTAATGACCAACAAGGTCGTATTGGGACTGTAGTTCGTTTCAATAGGCCTTCATTAAGACTTGCAGCTAGACGAACATTCGCACCGATTTGGTCTGCTCGGCGACATCCTATTTACCGGTTAATTGAAGTTACTGACAACATCAAAGATTACAATTAAGACCCGAAATTTACGAGTTGATTCAAGAAAGGATTGTAACTTCACGTTCTAAACTATCGAATCAACATCAAGGCCATGACGCAATATTCAAATAAAGAACGCAAACTCCATGGCGCAATATTGGAAGAACTTAACAAAATGCTCAAATCTTTAGTTCCTGCAATTCCTTCACAACGGCACTGGTGAGATAACAGCACGTAATTATACAAAATTTTTGAAATTGCGTACTAACCTTTTTAATTTAATAGGATATATGAAAGTAAGACCTCGTACACGTCCTAGCTTTACTGCTGAATCACGTCGATTTCGGGTTCGAATAAGAAAGACTGAATTTGTAAACCCAAACGCTAATAATCGTGTTTTTCAAGGCATAAGTTGAGAGTGGATGCTAAGTGAAGAAATGAAAAGATTTGGCGAAATTGCTCGTAGGAGAAGAATAAAGCAAAGCCAACATCATTAGGCGTTTGGAATCAATTCCAATAACACATGAAGAAACAAATAGTCAGAAGGCTGAAAGTTTATTAACGAAATCACAGATAATCAACTCCTTAAGTCCTTTTTTAGGTGAATCAGAACGGTCACGGTTTTTCGAGGTTTATCAAGTAATTCCGTGCTGACTTAGTGAATATTCTTCAAGAAGTTAGAAATATAATATCTGAAAATAGTATTAATATTAATAGGATATGTGCTTCCATAGTGTTCTACAATCATCAATTTGGAAAAACTCCTGACTGTATTAACATATACAATATACACACATTAATGTAATATTACACCTTTGTTCCGACATATAAAATGTAAAACGACACAGATATCCATGTAATAATTGCGTGTGGGAGCAACACCGCTCGTACATCTCATAGACAGATAAAATCTCTATATACTAATACTGCATCTTAATCTTTCTTTCATATTGTCTCGTGAAATAACATGAGATTAACCAATTACATGTCTAGCCTTCAACACTGACAACTAAGAAAGTGTCACATGATATTCCTATTGTGGCTGAATCATACATCCCATTCCAATACGGTATGAATGAATTTAGTTGAGATCACGTTTGAGACTTGCACTTTATTCCCAACCAGAAGTAACGTTTAAGTGAGGATTTGGATAAAAGTCTGTGATTGGCTTTACGCTCATTCACCGTTTTAACGTCTAATACTGTACATCTTTACAAGGACAAGCTATGATTTTTGTAAATGTTTGTTTTAATTGTATTGATACTTGAATTACAACGTAGAAGATGCCTTGACTTGGAATCAACATTGTGTAAATATTAAGCCGTTCGTTAATAAACGTAATCTCAATCAAGCCTATCGCTATTCGCTGTTTAACGTTTAGGCATAACCCGTGGAACTCTTATGATAAAAAATTATGTACGCACGTATTGCTGTATTTCGCGTGGACATTAAATAATGATATACATCTCTCTTTCAAAATATATTGTATTAGAATGTTTACGTGCGATATTATCCAAACAGAAACGTGATTATTTATAAATTGTAAATGTACTCGAGAACGTAAGACGGGAAGCGTTTATGCGCAATCGGATATAGCCTGCAATGTTCTTATGGATAAAGAAAATATAAGACGTGGTGTACATAATGGATATGTAAACATATCATGTGTTTGACTGAAAAAAAAAATCAACTACCTTGCCATCCTTTGCTAGTGCTCTGATCATTGAATCCATTGTATTAAAATCAATGTAGGCAGACGACTGCGTTGGGCACGGGCGGATAACTTTTATCTGGGTTACAAAAAAAATATATACCGGTCGCTTTGTTTTAAACCATCTTTCACGTAAAAACTCACGATGCATCAAACTATTTGCTCTTACATCTAACCCATCGAATATTTTTCGTAGTTCTGAATCAGTTGCTGGATAACCTTGCCACGAGACAAACACGGTATTGTGTCGTTTTAGAAATGGAGATGACTGAGGTATATACAATTACAAATGGCACAAGAGTTAGACTCTGTAATATAAACTTTTACTTAAAGAAAAGAAGTTACAATGCACCTATTCAATTACCTTCGATTCAGCCTTCTTCTTTTGGTTGTAGAGTGGGACATTATGATTTTGTAATTCTTTTATTAGTCGCTTTGGCAATAGTCTCCAATACTGTCTAACTTCCTCACGATATTCATTCGGTGACATTGAAAAAAATCGAATGAGGTTGATCATGACATTTATGCTTGTTTTGATTTGGTTTACATTGTCGGCCGACCATTTTGTCGGATCACGATCTACCTGCGGATGTTTGTCTAACCCCCATCTTATGACGTATTTCCACAATTCCACTTCTTCTATAAGGAGATCGTCACGCCGTAAAAGAGAAATTAGCATTTCTTCTTCCAACGGTTGAGGATTGTGAAGAAATATATTTCTTGCGTCTGCCGCGCACATTTTCAAGCAAAGTAGTGTAAGTTTTTTACATGATTCGAGTCTGAAGACAAGGTCTAGAACTTGGATAGGCTGCATGAGAATGAATGTTTCTTTTGATTTTATAAAATTATTCTGTATTATTTCAACGAGTCCTTCTAACAGCAATTCATCTGACGCAATTAATAGTTTGAGAATAGCAATCTCCGACCAACCGTCGATGTTCACGTTCCGGGTATACAAATACCTGCGAGACAGAAGAAAAAGATAAATTGACAGGTGAGTGTTGGGCAACACAACCGATAACTCCGACACACCTTTAACATTCCTTACCCGAGAATAACTTTGAACAATTCTGGCGCAACGTTTGGCTTCTCAAAAACGTAATATTGTTCCTTTCTTCTGAGCCATGTTTCTGATAACGCGGCACGAAAATATATTGATCTTGTAGATAAAATGGAAATATGAGCTTTGAATGTTTTTCTATCTTGTTCGTTGCCAGCGATAATCAGCAAGTCGTATTTTTTTTCGTCTTTGTTAAAATCTGAAAGTTGCGAATAGGGTCGTATTGACATTTTTGGAGGATGGGATGAGTTGTTCTTTGAGAAAACGTTGGATTATATCTGACGCTTTTAAATATTTCTGCGTCCAGGCTATTTCATGTGACGTTACGGTTTTGGATTCAATGAAAATTTGACGTTCCATTCGTTGATAATATTCAATTAAATGCTGGTCGCTATGGAGAGCAAAACTAAATCAAAAAAGGGAATGTAAATCAAAGTATCTAGATAATAAATGCGCGCGCCGTTATTTGAAGATTGATCTAGACTATTATTGAATGTTCGTAATTGCTTCAAGAGAGATGGCAACTAGTCCGGATAATGATAGACTGTCAATAACGTAAGTCTAAACGAGCGCCAGATCTCGAGACATTATGTATGATTGGATCATAGAAACAATCATTGAGTTCAATATAAATTTATTATAGACAAACGAAAAACTATATACTATTGTTAATAGATACCTGACAATAAAATGATTAACACCTATGTGCATGACTCTCCCCACATGTCTCGGCGCAATTTTTACATTGTTGCTTTGCCCTTCTCGTATTGTACGTTGGGTAAGGGTCTCACAATATAAGCCTAAGTTGTGCGTTATGATTGGTTTAATAGGATGGGCGCTTCATGCATACGTTGTATGTATTAATGTATTCAAACTAGAAAAGGAAGAGTTATCATTCTGTTCACATGCATGATCATAAGGATCGATAATATCAATAAACTGTCATTATAAATATACGTATTATTGTCAGTGTGTAGTGGTTTCAGTACCGTTGTAATGATGGGTCAGTAACTAGTTAATTCACGCTGTATATCAAGGCTGTCGTTCATTAAAGGTATACCATTCGTTGTAGAACATCATTCTTTGTATGTACAGTACATTATTCCTTGGAACCATCGACTTCCACCGGTCAGTATAGCGTGCCCAAGTCAATGCCTGCATGGGGATTTTGACAGGTGATACTTGACGTTACGCCCACCGTTTGCATAAGATGATGTCATTTTTATTTCAATCGGTATTATATCCTTACATTCAGAATTGCATGCAATCGAGTCCGAGAACCGCATCACCGCATAGGGTTCCGCGAATAGTCACTTGTTATTGATAAAGGTAAACAAATGGTGTCCGCACATGTGAGGCAGTTCATGTGAGTTAAGATTGTTTGTATTTAGATTTTTTATAAGCAAGGATCTTGCTCAGACGCTTCTCTGTTCAAGGACCATCTATCGGGAAATCTATTAACTCTGATTCATATCTTTATTTTCATCTCTCTTTGAACAAACAAATAATGGAAGACAAAAGTTGGCATTACATACAAGTACAATTTTGTTGTCAATTTTAAACGTCATTGTTAGCAGTATTTATAGTGCACTTACACTATTGTAAAAGAGAATTCATTGACCACCTATGAGTATCTCCTCCGATACTTGACGCATACACAATGGGATATTATGATAGTATTATAACGCGCAACAGCTAAACCATTTAAAGGAATATAGCCTAGACTAATTTTGGCCTTATGTGCACCCTATTGCTTATCATGATTGGTCAACAAGATATATACTGTGAGCATTCAGTCAACTGAATGGCATGGATATTAGGACAATACGCTAATTGTCAGTCAGTATGACCTTGTTGTATGTCAGATCGGAATAACACAGAGTATCAGTAACAATAATATAACATACTTCGGCATTAACAATATTACCTTGGCTGCTGCAATGGAATGAGATCATGTAATCAGATATTCTATGAAGAAATCATTCGCTTGGTTCGAATTTGATGTATCCCACACCTCTGTTGTATAACAGTTTACACATAAACGGTTTAGTTTTGGATCGACAAAATATATACATGGTTAATACTGATGCAAATGGCGGAAAGCGGCGGTGCAGTTGACCAACAGCATTGCAATAAACTAGATGTATCAAAAATTTATACAACTTTTGGGGACTTGTACAATTAAAAACATTGGTCACTACATAAATGATCTATGACTATATTTGAGATATTCAAATAATGAATAGATCAAGAATACGGAATCTTTAATGATATAGATGTTACCCATGACGTTCGAAATCGTGGTTTATAATATGTAACTAAACACTCGTCAATGGATGTGTCTCTAGTACAGTTAGATAATACTATGAGACATGTCCAAGAACTTGACACAGTGATTAGACAAGACTGAAGTAGAATGCAAACTATATTCATCATGCTATTATAATTCCGATCTGACATTGGCAGGGACCGAAAAAGCATGTGACTGTATATGATGTGGACAGGTCGACTGTATTTTGACTGGGTCAGATAGTCATTACAAGTTCTTATTAATGCTTACGGTATTAGTTTTTCAACAATACCATATTAATATTAATATGTTGAAATGAGCATATTTTTGCATATCTAATTAAAAAAAGGAAGGCTCTTCGCATTAAATTACGAGTTCGTTCAAATGAAGCAGATGTATTAACGTCACGAATTTTGGTGTGTGTGCATTTAGAGAGGATTATCACGATTCGAATAAATACACGACAGATTTTGATAAGCTCTTGCAGTATTGATGATAGTTTTTTGAGTGTCTATTATTAACGTTAATTACATCATACTTTTTGTTTCCATAATGATAAGGAAATTCTTCATCCGTCTGTTACTCAAAGATTCAGGATAAACTGCTAAACGACGACGATTCGCTTGGCCTGATAGAAATTGAGTTATTTCAGGCATACACTCCTATTTAGTTCTTGGATCAGTAGGCATTGCCCCTCCTATTCGTACATTCATCGAGACATCGTACAATGAAAAATTACGTGAAAATCACGGGCGTGCATTAGGGAGGGCGCTAAATATCTTGCCTGATATCGCAATGCAAGTTTACACGACTTAACAGATAGGATCATGTGCATGCATTTACGGAGATTATTTTCAATAACCCCTTGGAACTTAAAATCCATTGCACGTGCAGAATGGAGAGAATGTGCATTTATCATTAATTCCCGAGGTTGGAAATTTGAAATACCGTGCACTTAAGGAGAGTGTGCATTTAGGGAGAGTGCATTTACTATACGAGGGCGGTTAACGACATTTTAGGTAAGTGTCATCATTCTGAAAATCACAAGGCATGCTTCTGCAAAACAAAGTTCAAAAAGTGGCTTTGATCACAAACGCAACTATCACGAGTATGTGTCACTTTTATCAATAATACAAGTATACATCAATTGTTTGTGACCTTCGACACACGTGTAGTTAGCTTTGTTTCAATTGTAATAAATTTAACAACACAAGTATCTGGGTTATAACGACACTTTCGAGCAATGAAAAAGGTATTGTTGAATTCAGATGTCGGCTTATCCGGCGGCAAATATGTATACAAATTCACCAGTTTATCACATATAAATATTTACGAGTAATTTAAGCCAGCAAGATTTTGTTTGTTTATAATTCTTTGAAAAACGAAAAGTATGTGATATCTAAAATTTGAAGAATAGTTTCAAATTAATATAATTGGTAGACAGTCGTTTTATAAACCAGTGCCACAATCCAATGGTTCGTACAAACACCATAAAGAAGGAATACTATAAGGTGAATACGACCTGTCAGGATTATACAACTGTCGGTTAAATATGTCGTTGTGTCGGTAAAGCCGGATTTCAAAAAAAGTCGTTGTTGAAAAGTGTCATTTATCCAGCTGCCGTTATAACCAGAAGCAGGTAAACATGATACAACGTTGCTTTAACACCTCATTCGTCTATCGAATAGCCATGCTACAGTACTAATCGTATGGTCACCCCAAGAGCTTCTCAGTTCAACCAGTTCTCAGATATGCTTGTGTGAAGTACGATGTTGATTGACGTAATCTTCTCTCAATTTCTGCGGCAGCTCTGAGGATTCCTGAATAGCATTGTTTATATCGGGACGCAGCAAACATTGCACAATATTATTACACGAACAGTTTAACAATCTAAGCACTAAAATAAATGTGTTGCGAGCGCAACACTTTAGATATGTATGCAGCTCGACTTTCCGCTTGAATTCATCACTTTTGCATGTTCGCGTTGTTATATAGTTCATAATCACATTCCTTTCTAACAAACGAGTAATTTTCCTGATAAACGATTGATATAGTTGGGACCACTAATTTCTATATCAATTAAAAGTGTTCGCCTCTTGTCCCGTGGCATTACAATTGTTATTCGCTTAATGAGAAACGCGTTTTAGATAGATACATTTGTACACCATACTATAAGCTTCCGGAATAATCCCACCGAAAGTGAATGCTCTCCCGCAATTGTTGACCTAAACAAGTAATAGTTGATTGTTTAGAGAATCCAACAACGCTCTTGATACTACACATAATCAATACGTTGTCAATGGAAGCTGCAATCAGACCATTTTATTCTTGCCAAACTGGAGAATTTCTTTTGTCTTAAAAGTACGGAAAGGCGAATGGAGAGGAGGACGTTTGGGACGTAAGTAAAGAATGATAATAAATCAGTAAAGCATAAATTAAAGCATGAATACTCAGACCAATCTCGGAGTTTATAGGGAGTCTTAACCAAGCCAATTTGTTGACTAACGTTTTCTTGTTTAATATTAATTGATAATCTGCTCCAAAAAAGTGCTGCCTAAATTATAAAAATAGTTTTTTGCATGATCGTCGGAGGTCAACTCCGTCTGACCATTTCGTCATAATATTCTTTATGATGATCAGTGCTGACGATAACAAACGCTTGTACTCCATGTATAGACAACATACGAGAGGATGTGGATATTTTTGCTATGCATTTTTGATAAGACATCAATTGTTACATGGAGTTACCGGATATTGAGTTGTTCTTATTATAGTTAACCCAATCCAGCCAACATAGAAAAGAAGAGAAACATTATGACGGAAAAGTAATCCATTGTATACGCAGCTCGGTAGAATACTTGAATAGTAGAATAAATAAATTATAAGCCATATCGTGTTTTGTAAAGTGAACGACCGATTTAGCAAACACAATGGAAGATTATTAATAATGCTTATAAAAAGCGTGCCAACACCCACAACCGTCAACTTATAAAGTTGGTTTGCCATCTGCCTCAACTTTTCCTTAAAAACCTTCCTCGAAAGTTTAAAACAAGCATTGTCTAACAAAAGTGAGGCGAGAGACTTGGACGGACGAAGAATGGAAGCGGGTAAGAAATATCTGCGACCTGTATTTGCAACTTTTTTCAAACTCACAAAGTTTGTTGCAACTATAACTAACACGACTTAAACATAATTTAGGTTCTGCCGACGTAAAGGCGCCCGATGGCTTATCTCTCGAAAGTTTACCGATGGCCGGTGCAAAATATCGGAAAATTCAAGGACTCAGTTGCCAGACGAATAGACTGCATTAGAAGCACATTGTGGTTTATTTCGCCTGCACTTAAAGATTCAGTTGTCACCGCACGCATAGCTTGCGCTAGTAGTAGCATACAATATACGCGCTACTCCAGCGTTTGTCAATGATGCGGGGGCCTTTGGGCGGTCATTAACGTCAGAAACGTCCCCCCTTTACAATAGCACAAGTAACAAGATTTTTTTATCACGTATCAATTTATTTATGACACATTTCTTTTATTCTTACACTAATATTTGGTGCACGATAATAAGAAATGTATATTAACGGATCAATAAAAATCTGTCGTAAACTTGTTAATGCATGCAAAACTTGCATTAGTTAATTAATAGGTTTGAAATTTTAATTCTATATTTCCAAAAAAAGTTCAGCTTAACAGAAAAGACACGACGGATCTCACGTGCCTTCTACTTATGGAAGGCCTGTATATTTGCTCATAAGTCATATACGTTATCCATGCACACTCTTACTATTTTTTACCATGAATTCGTTTTGTAAAGGTTTATTTGTGGTAATTAAGCTTGGAAACCACTTGTGTAATTCTCAATAACGTAAATTGTCAAATGCACGTAAGTCAGTCTGCCTGTTTATAACAAACAGTGTTGGTAATAAAAGACGCCAAGTTGTCATAAATATGTTTACAATATGTGAACGTGTTATAATTGTCTATTCACATGCGTGTTCTGTGTCTAGTGAACCAACTACTATTTTCCGGGAATCGGCTGGATATTTGTTTCTCATCATTTATTTATGACAAGTCAACCTGACCATTCGCGAATGTTTTATAACTTGAGATGTATGTATGAGATACGGAAATGCCTTACATAATAATAGTGTGGGTAACTAGCCAACACTTCTACGATACATAATTAAATAATTGCTGGTAATTTTGTTTAATATTTGTTATAATGGAGCGAGTACCAAGGTCTAATAACAAAAAATCATGTTTTAACTGAATAACGCCAAGCTGTTAAACTTCAAAACTTTTGTTCGTAATGGTAGTACTCTCATTATTATTAAAATTCGATATGCAGACGTAAAAATTGGTCTTGCCGTTAGGAAATGTTTGGTGAATGATTTCATTACGCTGTTTAACTCTTTAGTACTAGTCGCGAGGGTAGGTTAGTAATAAAAGCCACGTGAATTGATTATTAGCCTTATTGAAAGAGAGCTGTGGCATTGATAACTTTAACGTAATGCACTGTTGTGGGCTGCATTATTCTATCACTATACTTAGCAACCAGAAAACATTGTGTCAAGTCGAGATTATAAAAAAAAAGAAAGAAAAAAGAACGTTATAAGTGGTCACGTTGATGTAGTCTTTGGGCCACATTAGGTAACATTAGATAAGAGAAATGAGATAAGAGAATAAAATATTACTGGGCAAACTATAATGTCAAAGTGGTAATAGACATTACAAATAAACAATGTATTGCCACCAGCTTTGCAATATATATAAAGTTTAATATCCTTACTCTTTTTTATTCTTATGGTCGAATAAAATGTTTGATTTAAAACTATATTTTATTGACCATTTAAAAGCATGTTTGAGTTGTTTAATTGGCAAAAAAACATGTTTGACGATTCTATAATAATTTTATTACAATTATACTCGATCAGGATACGCTCCTTATTTTCAATAGACTGAAATTTGTGTCGTGCATTCGAGTGATATTTTTAAAAAACATTATTTTTATTGTAATTTGGTAAGAACGTTTGTGTCAGTTGTCATTATTACGTTGATGAATAAAGTTAAGTTCTACTAAATATATCTAAACCTTATTCTATAAACGAACGTATGCTCTTTTGCAGGAACAAAACTATACAGCTTGCCAACAAATACAATATATACCTAAATACGGTGCCGACTAATAAAACTTAAGTACAGACATATTAATATCAATTATTGATTTTGGTAGATTTCGTGTGTAAATTTCAGAATTTTGCTTCACGGATTTGATATTATTTTGGCGCATAGCATGAGTAGAATATGTACTGAAGCATCAGATTTTGTTTTCGTAGAAATTACTATGTTGGGATTACTTGATTATGACGTACACAAATCTACAATAAAATGCCCCATATTTACATGGGTCAACTATTAATGCAAGTTATTTAACCTTTTTAATTGTCTGTCTATCTGGTCTACAATGCAGCTTTAAAATGGTTATTATTTTAGAGAACGTTGTATATTGCTTGCTCGAATCCGTGCGTTGGCCGAGCTATACTTAGAATAAAGGTTGGATTTTATTATACGCCAATAGTTTGACTAAGTTTTTGCCTAGAGATCAACAGATCTAAGAAGATGGACAAGGTACTAGATACTGATTCGAAGACAAGGTTATTTGTAGCTTGTGATAGAATAGTAAGCCTCCTAGCATGTGCGATAAATAATGGTCTGTATACATATAGTCTGTTTTGGCTAATTTTCTAATTAATCTTCTGTATTCTTGTTTTGGCAATATATTACCAAATTTGACCGCTGAAGTTCTTATAAAGTTGCTTTAAATTATAACTTTTTTTAAATAATAAATGTCTAAAGAATAGCTTGAGAGGAATTTTCATTTTGTAATGTTCTCAGTTTAGAAATGGTAGGCGATAGAACTTTTTACTCAAGCTCTATGCAATATAAACATTTGTCAAGTAAATATCATCGAGTTAAATCCTTTCTTGCATAAAATACAATATTAAAGTTTTAATCTTCTGTCAAATAAATAAATATTACGATAATTTTTAAAATTTAGTTGAAACTGCAAAATGAGTAACGACGAGCAAGATAAAGCAACAACAATTAGACAAAAAACCTTATCAGAAAACTAAAATCAAACCGTTGTTGACGCTTATTAGTCGTGAGTATGTTTTTAGTACATTTGAAAATTTATCATACAAGAGAATGGTTTTTCTATTTTGGCTCTACAAGTAGAATATATGGTTTAGAATTACAACAAAGACTTTCAGAATTTTCAAAGAGAAAGTTTACGGTGCACAGATTCATGATTTGATATATTACAATTATAAAGGTATCATACTCCGTGAATCAACAAGGGACAGTGCTATTTTCGTACATTATTGTCGAAACTGTTTGCGAAATGTCCGCTTTTTTTTTTCTACTCCCCTCCTCTATTTTTCTTTCATGACTTACAATATCTGCGTCTGCGAATGTGACGTCTAGACACATAATAAATATAAGCATTAATTTGATCATGTCTAGTGTTTAACCAAATCTGGTCAAAGCAGACAATCCCTTCAATAAGTACAACTTTATTGCGCAGACAATCCCTTCACCATGATAGGTTCTTTATATAACTCGGTCACGCAATCTTAGAAATCCTAAACTAACCAGGAATGACGAATTACATAAAAGGTTAAATCTAAATCATTACCGTTAAACCTAACCTAACCTCTAAAGAAAATTGCTTTTTGTAAAAGGAAAACTATATTATGCAGTTAATACGGCAGACACATCATCTGACTAGGACCGGGTGACTAAATAATGCATGTAACTACAGGAATGTGTCTGTTACGACAAGAGTTTACAATGTCAATGTCAAAAGTTCACCATCAAACAATTCAGGATTAATAAGGGACAAAAAGTTCTGGGCCACTCCGTCTTCTTTGGCATGCGCAAGGTTATTTAGGGAAAAGCTCGCTATATTGCGAAACAATAGTTTGAGTATAATCGAACGTTAGAAATACACAAGAACGGGTTAGAATTGCGATACAAAGTGAAGAAAGAAATTGCATCATCGGCTGATTGGATTGTAGTTTAATCGCATTACACACTTTATTACAGAGGCGGTATGAGAATTTTCCTATAATATTGCAATAATCATGATCGAACGTCAATATCGAAAACCTTTGACAAGTCTGCTTTTTCCGTCCTTTTTTTTTTTTTTTGAACAAACTCCTAAAACAAGCCAAATGCTAAATCCAGATAATCTAATCGAGGAACTGTCCCCTCACAGTGAGCAAAAAAATATATACTTGTAAACCTCAAAAAAGTATACGTAAGAATATCTTTTAAATAAAAAGAGTTCTAGTCGGATAATTTTTAAATTGAGAGAACTGCCACCCTGATTCTTTAACATAATGCTCATCCAAAGGAAAATTTTTTACGTTCAAAGATTGGATATATGAGTAAAAATAGATTTAAGCAACTGTACACATGAACTAAGATTTTAATAGAAAACCCTGAAATGAAATACGGATTTACCAAAGAATACTCACAAGCGTTTGTAATTTTCTCCCATGGGCGAGAATTGGATTTTTCTTCTTCTCATTATTAAACGATAACGAACATCAAATATTGCAATTAACAGGTGTATCTGATGCTTATCTGGCCCTCCTGCACTATGTGTGATACTTCTATAAGTTCTCGTATGGTTATGGTTTCGAAGCGATCACCTGAAAGATTAATAGTGCGTGAATAATTAAATATAGAATAAAATATAAAATTAGGTTCCGAAACCTCCCCCCAAAGAATCATTTTGCCATTATTTGTATCACACATTTTCGTCTTAATTTATACCGATGTGGTTCAGTGCATCTGTTCCCCTGAATTTCTCCCCACTTGGAGTGTGCAATGATATACACAGAATTCTATCCAATTATCATATGAAAAACGTTGCATGCAATATGTATCCAACATTCCAATATATTTTATTAGAAACTATCGCATGTGTATATTCTCGTTCCTATGAGAAGAAGATGATTCGCTAAATAATAGAATCCTTTTTCTAACAACAAGTTTTATTGCCAAAAAAATCATAGCACCTGTCATCGACTTCAAATAGCATGTCCCCCATTGTCGATTTTCGACACAAACTGTGCTAACCTGTTGTTATGTGTGATCTAGCTTAATGTAACAAGACGTGATTCCCGATCCAGAGTCGGTACTTCAGAGTCCCCCTCCCCATATCCATGACCGATGTGCTATGCCTAAGGTAAAACGCTAACCTCCTCAATAACAGTAATTCTATCTTATTGGAAACCACACAATCTTTCTTATTCGACGCCTCACACACAGATGCACCTGACTTGTGATTACGCACTTTTCCACTCGCACAAAAATGCGCTGTTCTACAAGATCGATGGAGATTTCAATTGATACCAATAACTTTTGCTGACAGACATGAAATTATCGTTTTTACAAGCTACAAGCATGCACGACTTTGCATCTCCATCAAAATCGTTCATCTATCAACCCAAGACTAGGATATTCTCTTTTCTTTTTCTTTTTCTTCCCTCTTCTCCATTTTCCTTATTATTGGATTTATTTGGATATATCCATTTTTGCGCAAAGAACTATTTTCCGTCAGAACTCTATTGCAAATTCTTTATTTAGAAACATATCCCACAATGACCAATAGTTTCCAATCATCGAACGTTTATCGAACCTTTTGAGAAATAAAACATTCAAATTCGCAATTAGTGATGATAGTCAGAAGTGCATATCATATATAATCATACTATTTATATCTTACATTTAATATAGTTTCTATTATATATTATTTCTTTTTGTAACATATATATATATAAACCAGCCCTCTACCGCATTTTTACATAAGCTTACGACTCTCTCTATCACACAAGCATCAGCCACATAATACGACAACGCACCCTTCTCTCACTTACGCAGGACACATCGTACTATACGTCATCATCACGCCGTTCTCCATTTTACCAAGGTATATACCGTACACCCCCCTTTCTGATAATGAACGCCTTTACAATCTTGAAATTTGGCGTGTGGTACCAAAAAGAAGGATTCAATGATGAGAAAGCCGTCGAATTATTCCGGGATTCTTCCGAACAGGGTAATCCAATTGGACAATTTTACCTTGGCGACTGCTACAGAACTGGAACCGGAGTAGAAATGAATAACGAAATAGCGGCCGAATTCTTTCAACGAGCTGCTGATCAGCAATTTTCGCTGGCACAATATTATCTTGGCTTGTGCTACTATAATGGCATCGGTGTAGAAAAGAACAATTACAAGGCGGCACAGTTATTCGAAAGAGCAGCCGGACACGGACTCGCCTGCGCCCAATATGAGCTTGGTCTATGTTACGAGAAAGGATGCGGAGTCGAACAAGACGGCGAAAGGGCGTTAGAACTATTCCACAAAGCGGTTGAACAAGACTATGTACTTGCGCTCTGCAAGCTCGGTGCGTACCATCAATTCGGAATTGGCGTCGAAAAGGATGAGCAAAAGGCTATAGAACTTTATCGGAAAGCCGACGAAGGAGAACGTGATCGAATACAATATACGCACAGTATAGCATACCAGTTTGCCATTGGTGCGACCCGGGATCAACAAAAGGCAATTGACGACTATCAAAAAATCGCCGAACAATTTACGTATTACAATTTCGGGTGGGTTTACCAAAAAAGGGTCGACGCGAGCAAAAAAGATCAGGACGCATTTGCGTTGTTCCAGAAGGCGGCCAGACTATTTCAGCAGGCCGAGCAAGGATACGTTCCGGCGGCATATAAACTCGGGAAATATTATCAAAGAGGAATCGGGATCCGTCAAGACGATAGCAAAGCCATCGAACTATTCCAGAAAGCCACCGAACTAGATTATGCGCCTGCACAATATACGCTTGCAAAATGCTACAAAAATGGAGTCGGTGTGTACAAAGATACCCAAACAGCCATACGACTATTCCAAGAAGCTGCCGTTAAACAGAGATACGCTCCAGCTCAGTTTAGGCTCGGGAAATATTATCAATACGGTATTGGTATCAGAAGGGACGATCAGAAGGCAGTTAGTATGTATCAAGAGTCTTCAGATCAAGGGCACGCCCCTGCCCAATATACTCTTGGTAAGCATTACGAGCACGGGATTGGCGTCGAACGACATTTTCAAAAGGCCGTTAGACTGTATCAAAAATCTGCTGAACAGGGATACGCCAAGGCAAAACGTAGGATGGATAAATTGTACAGTGAGAATAGGGTAGAGTTGTCGTACAGATCTTGATGTAATAGCGAGTTTCCTTTCTTTTTTAATTAGTTGTATATATCTAGTTTCTGATTGACCTTTTATTATTTTTTTTAAACCATTTCCTGCACGGTTATACAAGTATACTGTGATATGCATATGTGTGTATCTTTTAGTATTTCATACTCGTGTCATTTGTAAAGAATTCAACAATCAGAATGTCTATACTAAAGATATATTAAATAGACACTTAATGTTCGCTGCAGTGGACTTTAAAGCTTGGTCAGATTTACTGCTTTGCATAATAAAGTCATTGAAGTTTGAAAATACGAAAAGACTTGTAGTAATATTAAATCATATTGAAATGGCGCATTTCGTATAACGATTTGTAAAAATCAAATCATTATTACTGATGCTATTTATTAAAGTGTACATTTAATACATATTATATTATTTGTTTGAAAAGAATGGGCTTAATCCAGTAAGACATCCGAGAATCTAATCTAAATTTTGCGTAAACGATTCTAAAAATATCCCAAAGCGCAATAAAACAAAAAGTCCAACAGGTTGTTATATAAAACGTAAACAACCCGTCTGGTTAACGAGGTGACGAAGAGAAAACCGAAAAACATGGTAACAAGGATGCTGATGGGAATAACGACATTATTGTAAAAGTTAAATTTAGTCAACAACCTGTTTTTGTTGAATGAAAATTAGTATGGTTATCGATACCACGTGCTCAAATTAAAGTCTATACACAAGTTATAATACATTAATTAGAATCGCTTAGCGTTCCAAATGAAATTATTCTTACCTTGATTGTGGTGAGTAAAATATCAATTTTATAGTCACAGTAGGAGGGTCCCATCGAATAACGGTCGAAGAAACCGCCTCTGGTAATCGTTTGCTAGTAAAGACGAAAAGCGAGTGTTTATGCTGTAGATACTGTATACAAGCATACTAACAAGTAGTACTCGAATCGATTACCTATTTGTGCAAGAAGTGACGCTATCGACCTCTTCTGCACAGACCGAGCCACTTATTATTGCGCACGTTAAGAAGAGAAGTAACAAAAAAACTATGTGTTTAATCATTTTGTTTGTAGAGGTTGGTATGTGAATCGACTTGTCTAGCGAGCAAACGAAAATAGTAACTTAATCGATCGGTGTGTTCATTATTTATAAAGTATGGAAATTCGTGAGAAACTATTTGTGGAATGAATAGACTATTGTGATGCAATGCATAAGATGGTTTGGTGACTGTTCAACAAATCATCTTAATCGGACCCAGAAATCCGTAGTTTTCTCCATTAATAATAGTCATATTATTCGTTACCACTCGTCACCCCCCCCCCCCAACTAGCAATAATAATCGCAAGTCATAATAGTGTCTTCCCATTATTGTCTATTATGATTCCCGTTATTTTATTTATTTGTTCACACTGCAACAGGCGAATGATATTATCTTTAGATATCAAATGTATGTACAATGTCAGGGTTTTCCCTAATTGGTTTACATAACAACGCATGGGTATCAATTTGAAGGTTTTTTATACTCTGCACTCTGCATAGTGCTTTGGTAGTATTGGGCTGGTCGACATAAACGCTATAACAACTTGCCTGATAAAGAAAACATGATTACTGTAGATGAGTCTTGTACTACGATAATAGCCACCCTCTGTCGAGCATAAATGTACATTATGTCAAGTGATACAAGCTAAAATCCTTATTAAAATACATTGCCAATACAATCGGCCGAGGAATAAAGCATGCTGCAATGCAGTTGAATGCTATAACAAGATGTAGAGAAACAGTGGCCTGATTTTACTACTTCCTTTAAGATTTCCAATCAATCGTAATTCATACCATTAATGAAAGAAAAGATTGTGTTGTTGAATTCGAATAACCTTGTACTGCACAAATTTCCTTACTGGTTTGATGAACATACAATCTACATCACAAGCCATCACGAAGTCGCGAAGGTTCTGTCGAACGAGGCGAAAACACTAATTACGACAATTGCACACGACGGGCGACAATTAAGTGGGAAGTAAGTATAGAATTGGGAATATTATAGAGTCGGAAGTGATGGAGAAAGTTTGAAAACAACGCGAGAGAAACAGTTGTTCGATGTTTGGTAGCCGTTGAACGGATGAATTTTCAATACAAAAATCATGGGAATCACAACATTCTGCTTGTCTGTACAGACATCATATCGGACGAAACCACAATTCAACATTACAAGGCACGAACGACACAAGCCAATCACTACGATCCCATCTACATCCTACATATCCTCTATCACTCTATCCACATTTCATTCCATCCGCGAATTAATCTGTACGGCAACGCTACTTACTCGTACGTGATGTGTATGCATCAAGGATGTGGATAGATATGGAATACGGACTCGATCTTGATTGTAATACTTTTCGTCACTCTTTCATTGTCTAGTGCTCTATGTGCATGACTTTATTTTTATGTCTTGTTGTTCCGCGGATGAAAATTTGGATGTCGAAAATGCCAAATTTATTACAACTAATGTGCACGGGAGATAACCGGAATGCGAAAGAGAATCCATAACTATGTATAGTATTAGTATGTGTATGCCTGTTATTTACATTAAAAAAGATTTGTTTTGATCTTTGCGTCAACTATTCTGTTTGATTCAGGTTAACCGGCTCGCCTCAACCGTCTGTGATTGTGACAAGAACCTAGACGAGAACGAAGAATATGACGAATCAAGCAATGAATAATGGATCTTTTGAGGTATAGAATTACCAGCATTCTCAATAAACGGAAAATTAATCAGCTGAAGAGGAATATAAATATCAGCAAACAACTCAGTAGCAACACCGGTAACACTAAGTGGCAGAATGAGTGAATTGGGATAACACTGATGGAGGTGGCGGATGATACAAGTTTAGAAACGATGCGAAAAAAACGATTATTTGAGTGGGTGTTGGTAATGGAAAAGAAATATTACGAGCAATATTAATAATCCGTCTGTCTCAATTCTATATATTTACCATGACCTGCATATACCTATACAGACGCCGCATCAACATATCCAAGGGTCACGAATTATGCCGACTATCACCACAAATTGGCCGCTCGACCCGATCAGCGTTCTAACCATCCACATACATAAATCACTCATTCTCGCGTCGAATCCATCATCTGCACTGGGTAGCGTCATCTCTATACGGTGAGTTTGATTGTGCAAGCAAGTGTGGAGATGGAAATTGGCCATACTATCTCGAAGGTAGGCAAAGATACTTTTCGATGCTGATGGTAATATCTTCCAAAGCCCTTCTATTACCCTTTTCCTTCGCTTCAGGTTCACGGCTTTATTCTAATGCTCTTCTGTTTTCGCTGATAGAAATCAAATAGTGAAAGCGTATGCTCGGGAGGATATAAGATGAAGACTGAAATCTATAAACGAAAATAGAATTGTTGTCTGTGCAGATTATCCGCGAAGAATGAGTTACTGCTTAACCGGTTGAAGAGGTATGTCAATAACAGCAAACAGCCAACAAACGCCATTCAGCAAAGTCAAGTGGAAGGACATGGAGTTAGGAATGTTTCTACGGTAGAGGTAGTTTAGACAATGCTGGAAATAGCCATTGAAACCAACAGAGTGATGTAATGGAGATAAAGTACTGGGAAACCGCAATAAAGATAAAATCACAGCGGCTTCCATAGCAGTATATTGATAACAAAACATAGTCCTCGACAAAAATGTTTACGATATCTTGCTTACATCAACCCCTATGCAGACATCATCTCCCATCGCCTGCACGTCGGCCTAATGGTCCAACCTGCATTTATCATCTCAACGGCATTATCCCCAGTCTTCTCTATGTTCACACATCACCCCCGGGTTACATAAACATATGGCAATGAAAACAGAAATATTGGGAGGGGGTCCACTCTTCGTTTCATGCTCAACTAATGATGTTCCTCGTCTGACGACGGATAACTATGTGTGAAGTGACTAATCAAATGCAAAATATGTGTGGCAGTTTATTAGAACGCGCCTATCAAGTGCGGAATGTGTTCAAAGTTCTTGTCATGGGGTGTGTAATAAACTTTTAATATATACTTTATTTTGAACTTGCACAATTACTCTTTCTAGTCGATAAAATACTGAGAAATATTCATCTGAATTTGCTCCCGTCATGACGGGATGTAATAAGTCAATAATACATATTTACTTATCTCTTACATCCATATACACTTTTCAGTCTTCATCCCCATCACAATCGTTATCCCGCGACGTATCCGAAAATTCAAGCTTTATCAAACCGTGAATTCCTCAACCAACCGGAGCATATCCTCAGCAACATCATTAATAATCAGGCTGGGATGGAAGATTGTTAATGGTGGTGGAGGAGATTGAGGCAATGCGAAATCATGATCGAAATTGTGAAATATTGACGGCTTGGATTGGGAGAGAAAATAATGGAAAATCGCTGTTGAATAGTAATCACGCAGTAATGTTAATAATGACAAATGTGACTAATATAACAACCCTAAGTCGTCTTCTCAACCTTCATTCAAGAGCAAAATCCAAGGCCACGAATATTAAAACACGCCGGCCACTCGACCAGATCTGTTTCCACGCCCATCAACAACCGATTGGCTAATGTAATGCATACCGAGGAAGCTTGATATTCACGTAAGCAGGGTCAGTAAGATAGAAGTAATTGTATAAACCTCGAATGCCGGTATCTTTTTGATTTTTATGTAATATCTCTCCGTCAGTCTTTTCCACCCTTCTTTCATCAGTTTGTTCTAATGTTCCGTTGATGGAAAACCATACAGTGAAGTATCTTCCAAAGGCGAAATTACTGTACGCTAATACTGAAATTAATCCAAACGGGAAATTGTCGTTATGGTATGGATAAAAACCCAACAGAGAGCCGAACCAGCAGTCAACGTACGTACAGAATTTGTCAATTATGTCCACACGCAAAAATGATCAACTTTAGACGAAAAACGAAATCCAAGCACCACAAGGGCGAATTCCACTAACCATCACACGGCGGCACTCGATCCAATATGCAATTTATTCACCTACGCCTTTTAGATCACTTTTCTCATTTACGAGTGTAGCTACACGCAAAAACATTGCTTTTGCGTGATGATTCGATTTTATACGCAACCAGTGGGGAGTGGGATGTAGAATGGATGGAAATCCGAAATTTAGGTCTCTTCGCTAATGTCTCTTTCCCGTCGCTTCAATACGAAATAGTGTATTCTGGCTGTTCTTTTTATAGTAACAGTGTGCCTATATATGCTGGTGGTGCTTAATAAACGGGTCAACTACCTTTACGCAAATAGATAGGTACGACTGCATATTAGAATGAGCCAAACAGTTCAATTTAAGCGATACAAAGCAAATTTCCACAACTATTCATATAATCTGTAAACATCAACCTCTTCATGGAAAGATCTGGAGCATGATAACAGCTAAAGCAGAGGTTGTAAAAATGGAAAAATGGAATCATCATCGCCTCTAAACTCCAATTTATTTTGTCTGCTTCCTTCCAATAATCCCAAGCATCCATAACATATAACACATTGTGTCCGACATGGAAAAAGAATTCCAGCATGAAGTTCTTCAATGACGATGATGTGATCAAAAATCATGATATTGTTTAATTATCATAAATGGAGACTTTGGATTATTGCAACCTTCTCGGAATTCATCCCCTCGACAATGTGACGTAGACACCCCAAACATGAAGGAATTCATACCAGATTGTCATTATTGGCATCGATCGGGGTATATACTGTATATTGGATCCCCCGTCTTGGATTCCTACATAAATATTTTCTTAGTTATACCTACAGTTTCGAACAGTGCAAAGCTTACCATACCTAAAAGGTTCTACAAACTCTCTTCAGCTGTCTCATCCATTTTTCTCGATCTAAGTTGTCCAAGCGATAAACTTGAAAAAGTACAAATTGGTTAGTACAAAAAGGTAAAAGGTAAACTGTACGCGTTTTCAAACCTAAATGGGAAAGATTGTGACGCGTAATGGATTACTCTAGTTTTGCATAAAATATGATCCGGAGTGTGGAATTACAACTGATATTATTTCTATTCCATTTGAAAGCTTCCCGAATTTGAGACGACAAAACCTAAACCAATGCCACCGTTTATCAATGATCTCTTAATTTTATACCCTTTCAGGAATATTTTTATTTTTCTGATACGCCTAAATTGGCCGATGTGGGCAAACAAGTTACAGATAATTTTAGAAATAAATTGTATGAAAAAAAAAAAGCTTGGAGAAAAATATTGAAGTAGCGATTGTTGCAAGGGAGAAGTTCCCGCTACTCCGAATTGCCACATAAAATGTTACTCCCCACCACCGCTGCTGTTACTAATGCTCGCAAACGTAGCTGCGTTCTAATCACTACGCCTCTGGTTTATGATAATAACAGCCCATTTACTGGAAATAATCAATCCCCATACAGTGTAAGGACCGTGCGCTATATTAAAGTCAGGTGTAGTTTGCAGTATAAGTTTCAAGAGACTTGTTACAAATATCGTAGACAGAGTGGTTAAAACATTGCTTTTAATTGTCTGTTCCCATCCATGGCATCGACAGTAATGTAATTCATAATCTCTGAGTGCTTATGAAAGCCAATATTGCAACATTCATTTTAATCAAGTCAGAATTCTTGGGTACTTTGATTGATTCGAAGCATATTAAACAAGTATTTATAATTCAACATAAATAGCACGTAAATTAAATCTTCGTAGGTTGTCGTACAAATCGAAAATTAAATGAGGACGGTATATTAATATCGATATTATTCTCCCGTTTTAATAATATACTCGATCATATATTAATATTGATATTCCATTATCAATGTTTGAAAATTCTAGAACGGCATGATTTACCGACTATTTTTAGCTGTTCATATTCGTATATCATGTGATTGTTGTGGAACGAATTAATTCGTGGATCACGCAGTGATTTGACAGTTCATAAGACGGTCACTGTTTTTCAGTTTAATTAAAAGATTAACCCGGAATCGAATTTTTGCATACTGGACGGTCCCTAAATCGAATTGTTGGCATTTATTTCGGTTCATTTCGGTTGATACATTAATCTTAAATCGAATTATTAACATTTATGGACGGCGACATTAAACGTAAGTGGGATTGTTGGCATTCATCTCGTTTGACATGGCCCTAAATTGCACTGTTGGCATTGTAAATTTGGTCGATAGATACTGTGACCATGGCGGGGGTCTCATACTGATTTATCGCAAAGAGTTTTTATTGTATCATTCTTGAATGTATGCATTATGATTAAAGCCGTCACTCTCATCTAGAAAGAAGCCTTATTATCGCTGTTATCACTGACAAGCCTGACTGATTTATCTCGAAACTCATGTTACGCCGGGTTCTTTGTACATCTCCTCAATAGCAGAAGACGTAAGTAGGATGCACACTTTTTTAGTAAATAAAGAATCTAGTTCAAGAACTACGGCTATATAAATTCTTTTCTCGCCTATAAAGTGCTAAAATATCTTAAGCAACTTACACAAAAGATCAATCAATCTCTACTTAGAAATCTTGTAACGCCTGAAGGAATTGTGAGAACGAGGCTTGGAGCCACTGTCATGATAACACTTAAGGACCTGGCAACTCGATTCTGTTTGTGCTGGACTCGGTGGTTTAGAAATTAATGCTCGCTCAGAATCATTGTTTTGTGTCAGCGCCTAAATTTTCTGCAAAGATTATGAGACGCAGTTCCGAGATTCTAGAAACCATTAAGGAAGAAATTTCAAAATCTCACGCCGGGCTGTAGAAGTTGTCTGTATCATAATAGAGCTTTACAAAGTGCGATAAATAATTAAATAAGGTAAATGGCTAAATCCATGTGGTTTTAACGAGCTCCGAAATCGCAACTCAAGTTAGCTTCTATGTCAAAGAATGTCAATCCAATTCTGCTCTCGCATCACGAGCGCATATCATTAATCCTACTCCGATTTGTTAGCTTGCGAACTAAGAGAAAGCACGGAATTGTGATGAAGATCGAATGACAAACATATATTGAATCTAAGGTATTCAAAAATGTTCTTGTTTAAGAAACATGCGTTATATCAGAATCGTTGCGCAGCTAAACTAATCCAACGTTGTCGTTTACATGGGCGTTTTATGCTTGAAGGGAGCACTCAAGCGAGCGTGAAGAATTTACAATTCCCTGTCAAATCGAACGACAAGTCTCATGCCTTAAGCAGCTTACGCAAAACTGCGTAGTTTGAATATTGAAGGCTTCACAACATTTTTCTTTTAAAAATATACTGCAGACACGAAGGCCCCATTTCATTGAGAAGACACTTGGACTGTGGATGAATTCCCGTATGTGGCGTGATCGATGTATATTGTCATATCAAACTGTATATAATGATATCATGTATATTTATATTGTTTACTATGATTACATTGTTGATCAATCAAAAAGGACGGACCTATCGATCGATAAGCAGTTATTCACGTATGCGCTCAGTAATCTCTCAAAATCCGCAATGACAATGCAAAGCAGCAACTATAGATTCTTATTACGGAGGCAGACTCATTTATACGAGGAAAAGACATCGGGTCAGTGGATGAACACAAAATGACTATGTCTGTGCTATTCGTATTAGATATATACTAATGCTACTTGTTCATTTATGCCTGTATTTCTATTGTAGATTCAGAAGAACCTATGCAGACATTGGGTTTTGAGATATCAGGATTAATATCTCAAGGTCGGGTACTTAATGGTACGTCATTGTATTGGATATTCTGGTACACTTTAAAATGCCCGCGCTCACTTTTTGCCGTAGTTTGCCTACTCAAGCAGGTTATGAGTCATCGGCGCTTGGTATGGTTATATTCGAGAATTAATCTTAGTGATGGCGGGTAAATATTCTTCCACGCTAAAAGTTTCCAGGGAACAGTAACTCATCCTGTATCAATATTTGGGTATTTGTTTCATCCAAGGATCTGCGGCCTGATATTATGTCATGAGATGAGAATATAACCAATTATTCGATATTGTGAATATCTTTTCATCTTCGCTTCGCAAAAAATGGAACGTGGTCTATGGATAGATCGCATCCACTTAGAAAAATGACTCAAGTAAACAACATTTGAGTAGGCATGACTAATTGAACCTCATCAAAAATGCGCAGTATATATTCGAGAAAAGAATTTCCTATCGAATATAATGTAAATTTAGCTTTAATAATATAAATGCATACAAAGTTTATATATGGTATGTTGAAAATGGATGTACGTTTTTTATTATCTTCAGTGCTTAGTTTCGATTGATAAATATTCCTTTTCTTTCCAAGAATTATACCAGAATCCCTGCCAATGCGATTATGGAACGGTACAATCTTGTATACATTCCCGTTCATTGCATGAAAGACATTAGCACCGATTTGGGTTTCAATAGTATGCAGTTGGTTGAATGGCTTTTTTTGATCTCATTGATTGATTGCGATTATATTATACTTTTATAATAGAAGCTCACCTCCTTACGGTTGTATGACTTGCTTGCTTGTGTGTGAGAGAGATTATACCACAACCTATTTTTATCGAGTCGAGCGGATTCTTGCAAGTTGCACTATGTCGCGTAAGGCCAACTTATCGAAATGCATCCATCTAACTATAACAAGCCCGGAGCAATTGCAGACTTTTCCGAATACCTCTTTAAAGAAGAACGTCAAGGATGTTTAAAGAAGAACGTCAAGGATGATTAAAGATGAAACCGACTTCTCAGAATCGTGTGCGTATACACACTTTAAATGCTCATTCGTGCACGTTTACATTTTTACATTCTTGAAATAATAAGCCCTTTAACAATTTCCCTTATCATTGGCATATGATTCGCAATGATTGGCGTGATAAATATGCAATGTCCTATCATCGTGCACGAGTCAGAAGAAGTCAAAAGACCCCATGGGCAACAGAGAATATCCAAAAGAAGCGAACACAGTTAAGTGGCTGAATCACCACATGCAAGTCGCAGGTCAATAGATAATGAAAACCAATGGGAACGTATGACCAAAGCATGTCACCCCAAAGAGACCACTGTCAGGTGTAACGTAAAGTCCCCGTTTGTTCTCACATCGGCAGATCTATAAAATAGCACACTTTCACTCAATTTCGCCATTGAAAAGTTAAAACACCACACCCAACATGCTAATAACAACAAAATGTTAATATACAATATTCAACTTGCAAACTTTCACACAAAGTTTTTATTACAAACTAAATTATCAAATTTCACGTCGACGCTTTTGCTTCTTCCACCTCGGGTATACGAACGAATATACGTTTATTTGTTGAGGTGGACTTACGCCCCGTTCTATACGACAACGGTTTTTAACTGCAAGGCCTGTCGGCGAACTACGTAAAGAAAACGTAGTTTCGAATTAAATTATAAATTTACTACGGCTGGAGGAGGAATCCTCCGTTTTACCTACGATTGAGCGGCAGTATGGCTGAGCCTGTTGGGGGGGTGACGCACCCAAACACACATCAACAACTACGATGGAATGAGGTTCATTTTAGAGTAGAAAAAAAAATTTTATTTAACCGGGCGGAGGGAGGGGGTTTATGATTAGGGTTTACTGAGAGAGAATGGGAGAAGGGGGGCCGGGGGCCCCGTGGTGTTTAGACCGTTTTCTATGTATGGCTCATGGTGGGAAAGACAATTGGTGGGGAAATAATAGTATTGGGGACACTAGTTTTAGACAGGCCAAGTAAAATTTTTGCAGTTCAAGTTTAGCGAATATCAAATATATTTTTAATTACAAATAACAACAATATAACAATAATATGTATATAATAAATCATGTATCCTTTAATAAATACACGTAATTCATATGAAACGTCTCTTCGTCATATCATTCATTGCGGCAGTTTATCTTAATATCCGATGTCAGGTCGCTTCTCGAGGATTTATTCCAACGTCTATTATTTCATTGTTAACATTACCGTCACTGTTAAACCCGCACCATGTATTTTACTAGAAATAGCGTTCTAAATACTGATGTATGTTCTACTGTTCAACTGTTTCGATGATGCTCTTTGTTCTACAGGCGTTTCCGCAATGAGAAAATGAGACAGAGCTCAATTTCATAAAAGTTTTTTTTTATTTTAACGATTAATTAGAAACCCAAATGTATTTATAAAGAAACTGTCTTGTATAACCAACGATATCCTGGGCAACATTTTTATAGGAACTCGATACTAGCTGGAATTTTTCATGTATATTAATATGTACAAATTATTAAAGACAGGGACCATATAGTTTGTCATATACACAGTGAACCTGGATATAACGAAGTGGTCTGTTCCAGCACTTTCTTCACTATATCCAGGTTTCCTCTTTATAAGGAAGTCTTATACAATTCCCTTGTAGCTTCGTTATAAACGGGTCAATCACGTGCCATTTGTATACCCGCCAATTTCGATGGTAATGATAATGAATTTTAGACTAAAGCAACTTTAATTTATTGAGTCACTTTGTCGCTGACTGCATTTTCTACCCAAATCTCTTCTATATTAGGAAAATTACTTTGACGTGTACTAGTGGTGGGAATTCTCATCAATATTAAGCCAGAAAGTCATTATTCGACAAAATTTCACTGGCTGATGGTATAGCACATCCGAACTGTTTCGCTAAATCGGCTCTTTAATTGAAGGATTGTCTTTTTTTATTTGGCGATAATTTTTTCCGATGCCCCTAAGTGCACGGCGTTTGTTCTTAATAAGTTTTGTCGCGTCATCTTGATAAGAGTCAATACAAACATATGAGATTTAGACTTTAAATATGAAGTTTCGTGAGTTGGGGATGACAAGAATTGTGGTACGCATATTTACTAATTTCACTAATAATGGTAAAAATTATCGAAATTATAACAAACTTTATTATAATACAGTGAAGTTCGTTATCGAAAAACTTCGTTATATTCTTATTAGTTGACAGATTTAAAACTTCGTCATAGCCAGTAACCAGGTTTTCCTAATTAACTTTGTTATATCCAGGAAATTTTATTAGACAAAAATTCGGGACATCAAAAAAACTTTGTTATAATCAAATTTCGTTATAGTCAAATTTCGTTATATCCAGGTTCATTGTGTAATTTAAATCTAAAAAGGCGACGTGCCGCTAATATGGAAGGCGTATATTAACTGGACTCTCTAACCCGGCAATAATGTCAGATACGCGAGATTCATCTTCTGCTATCTGGGATCTTATGATGTCGCAAGAGTTTTTAGTTATAAATCGTTTTGTTAGCAATTATGTCACTTCTTATTTAGGCAAGTTTCATTAAGCAATTGTTAATTCTTCTACTAATTATTCTGTCTTGAATTCCGAAAATACAGTATAGTCATACTTACATCCTCCTCTTTTGTTAGCCTAAAAAGTGGGGGGGTGGGTGACTTGCAAAATATATAAATAAAATGGCTGGTTTTGACTCTGCACAACCGCTTAATATAGTGATTTTAAATCACAATATGTTCTTTGATATATCGATGGAGTTATTAACAAATTCGACATCAAGTAATAATAGAGTATCTAATTGCAAGATTCTAAACTCATTTAAAGTTTAATTCAATTCAATAAACCCAACCCAGACGATATACAGTCATATATAAATTATTGTTATACTTTATTTTCTTCCATTGCATTTTACAATACAGTACATAAAGTAGCATGTCATTAACTTGACATACTTGACATTTGGTAATAATAAAACCATTATACTAAAATAGAACACTAAAATATTAGCAAAGGCGCCTTATGACGAAAAATACTCTGAAATAAACGGCGCCTATTTGATAACAATTAAACGAAAAGACTTTATACAAACGAATGAGAAGCTAAACGTAATTATTGTTACTAACTAGTTGTATTATTTTTACCAGATAATCTCTTGGTATAAAAATAATTAATTAGCTCCAGAAAATTTGATAAAAAAGCATTTTTGCGCTATAAGCCTGGAAGTTAAAAATTATTGGGTGTTCAGTATTATTAAAAGAAGGTGTGTAAAGGAAACTCAAATTTTTAATATTTAGCAATATTATAACAACTAACAATTTTGTAAAGACGAATGTAATTAGTCAGAAAAAAAAAATTAAACCGTTTTGAAATCTTATTCAAATATTACATTTTGGTTTCCGAAAGCTTGCGATGTAATTGATACCTTCGTTTGGGGTGTGTTACTTTAAACCAATTGCCATCATTAACTTTGGCCAACAGTCTGTCTTCATGAAGCGCATGTTTTCATTGCAAAAAGCATTTTCCAGAATAATGGCTAACTGCTGTTGACAAAGTATGGCGGTACTTTCGTAAGTTGGTTTGAGTACACACGAAAGTTCGTCCGCGTGTATATCGAAAGTTGTACATTTTTGTAAGGGGTTTATAATAGGGTTGAATTACTTTTGCCATGAAAGATAAGTATAACAAACATATTGTTCGTTATTTTGCAGATTTCTTATTCACCACATAGTAAACCCTGATTTTCCAAAAAAAATTTAATTCTGAAACGCGCTTCGAATTTAAGTCGTCGATAAACGCAACGCGTATTAATTTGTCAACGTTTCAGCTGATGGATTGTGAATTTTTTGCAAAGTGGATTTCAGTGTTTGTGTGGTAACTCGTTCTCTGGAACAGAGCATTAAAAATTTTTCTTTTCCCGAGAGATGTGCATCTTATTTGTGCGTATAATCATTGATTGTCATTATTTAGGTTATACGTGCACGAAAGCTGAGAGTTAACCTAATGTTTCGATTCCTCTGGCTGTTGGTTAAACCAGTCATCATTCAAATGCTGCGAACAAAAGGTATATGGCAATGAAGGTAAAAAGATATCGAGTACGTGAGAGCGAGTGCGAAAGGTATGAAAAAATGTGTGGTATGTAATTTGGTATATGAGTAATAAGTAAGTGAACGTATGAGTGCTTTGCAGCACTTGGAATAACTAAGAGACTGGTATTAATAGATTAAAAAAACTTGTTACATTATCAAATGTTTGTTATTGCCAACATTGTGACCACAGAGGGATACTAAACAAACAGCCTCAACGATAGCCTTTATATATGGCCACCCAGTTTGTTTATCTTGTCTAAAACAATATTCTGGTAATGTAATACGTTTAGCACTCCATTTTACAAGGCCATTTAGCAGAGAAAGGTTACCAATAAACCCATTTTTTGTTAATAATTGAATGATATTCGGCAATGCAATTTTTATATCGAGTTTAAAGTAATAGTATGCAACTCTTGTTTTCGCAAAATAAAGGACATTTTTGTAATTTTAATGGTATACAGCATGTGAAGAATACGAGCATGCACATCTAAATCATTTATTAATACGCACTATAGAAAGAAGAAAAAGAAACACACCCCCCGGATTTATTAGATATGAACCACTAAAGTAGGCTCAACCGTGCATGTAACAGAACCACTAAGAACAACTATCAGCAGAATGAATCTTGATACAGATAATATAAACCGTTTCTAGCAAATAAGTTTTCATGTCTGCTTATCGTGAAGGTTAATAGACTTTCCTTGTTTATATAAATCGGATTACAAGATATATGCGTTAATTTTATATTACCATCAGCATCCTTAATTGATTCAAGTAATAATGGTTTATATAAAAGCCAGCTTACTGTCAAACACATTCATTGGGTCTATTATTTATAAACCTATCTTAATCAATATAAACAATTTTATCTACTTAGTTGGAGTGGCTGATGGTGATATCACATTTGGTACGAAGTTTTACCTAATTTGAACATTACTTCGAGTGCCAAAAAGGATGCGTCTTGAACAAAAGGACACTAGGGTTAGAAGTATTTAATTAGCAAAGGTTGTACCTCATTTAAACATTACTTCGAGTACCAAAAAAGATGTGTCTTGAACAAAAGGACATTAAGGTTAGAAGTATTTAATTAGCAAACTTTTTAATATTAATCAAAACTTCGACGCTTTTAATGCGTAACAATTACTTCTTATGCAAATTTTGTAATACAGTGAATATCGTTTATTACTCTACCATACTACTTGACTATGACCATTGAAAAAAGGCAAAGTTTTTATTTGCCCCGAAAATTGTTACAATTGATCTATCATATCATTGTACAAACGTTGGAAACAATTAGCATGCTGATTCTGTCTCATTCTCATCATAGATTGAACAGTAATATTCCGAACTATAATGAGTATGCTTCGAAAAGTATGAACGATTAATTTGGCAGAAAATATGCTAACTATGCCGATTGGTTTATATTATGATTCCCCGATTCAGTCATGTGCAGATTATTACTCTTAATGGATTGCTGCTGCAAATTGGTATTTCGTTACGCTTATGATTATAATATACGTTGACGCAGTCCTAAGAGGGTTTATTTTATCGAGTATATTACGTCATTTATACGATAAACTGCGGCATCGCCACTATTGGTGGAAAAATTGGACTGCATGTTTTAATTACCTAAACTATCGTGAATAAGGGCCCCTCATATGAAAAAATTGCTATCGTGAATAAGGGCCGTAATGTTATGAATAGCTGGCCCCTCATCCCCCCTTATCACATCAACAATCGACGTCATATATTACTTGATTATATGAAATATAGTTCGTGATTATGTAATAATAGAGATAACGCGGACAATTGTTACGTGACGATTTGCAGATCATTTTGCATTGTTTTTAAGGCGCAACCAAACATCTCATGAATAAGAGCCCCCTCATATGATGAAGATGGACCCTTATTCACGATAGTTACGGTACTTGACAATCAATACTCTACCAATTATCATTCGTCACATTCCCAAAACTCATCGCTGGTCTGGAGCAATTGACGTAATTACACAATACGTATCATTAGAATATTTGCCCAGTTCTGATCACGATAATTATAAGTTTGTCTAATGCACAAAGAGCTACTGAAGGAGAAATATTTGGAAGTGGTCTTCAAATGGCTCACCTTCGGATGGCTTTTGAATGGTTTGAACAATGTCCTCTACTGTTAGTGTATCATTAAATTGAACCGAATTTCTAGGTTTACATATTCTCTGCTGCTATTCTTGTGTTTATTCGTGACTTCAGACTTTAGCATTTAAATTTCCAGAAGCTGAGGCCAGAACATTCTACCTCGGCGATTACGCTGATGTAGAAACTATGGCTTCAGCGGTTTTTTTTTATGAAGACTAACAGTACTATCCATGGTTTTTGAATCAAGAATTAAAGTTCAAGATTGTTTGGTAACACTTATTCTTTAAATGGCAAATTATTCAGTTTAAAGAGGTAAATCTTAAAGTAGTCGATGTCTTCGGCTTGTGGAGGTTCATTTGTTAGAAATGTCAGAAAATTTTCTTTATCTTACAGTTTTAGCGAGGGTTTATAATAAAATTTATACTATGGAGGTATTTTTAATACAAAGAATTTGGGGTGACAAAATTCCTTAAGTTACTTGTCCCGGACTGCGCAGAAGTAAACAAAGTCTACCCACAGATTATCAGTCGCTTGAGATTTGATGATCACCAAATGACGATTTTCTGATAATCACGCAAATTCACCATTTTCATAGTTCATCCCTCATATTAATATGTGTTCTGTGCGCTTTAAGCCTGTAATTCTTTCTCGGCACAAGCTTCTATCTCATGAAAAGCATAAATAATATAGTTTTTGCCCAAACAAAACATTTATGACGAATAAATGGTTCAAGTTGACGTAAAGTCGACCTTTTAAATGTTACTCGCAGACTATACAACCAATGTCATTTACAAATTATGCAAAATTCTGATAGACAGCTCTTTGTTTTATATAGAATTTTGTCTAAGCTTCTTGATGTTTGGCTGACTAACTAGATAATCATACGGGTGATAATTTCGTTATATCTGCCAACACTCTCCATGCCAAAAGAATTCGTCACTCCTCAAAATTTAGTAGTAAAAATATTTTCCGAAAATCTTTATTGGTCGTATTTACTATGTAAATTGCAATGATTTTTGTACCGTTATAAAGCTTAGTTATATTTTTCCAGAAAAAAGTGCAATGAACTATAACGAGTTTATATTGGCATATATCCTAAACTCTTTCTTGCGTCTCTTTCAGTGCTGTATTGATCCAACAGGCTCGTCACACTGCAACAAAGCTCTTGCCCCTTTCTAAAACTTTTCTCCGTTCCTGACCGCCAATAATGATATTTTCAGCCCTGTTATTGTAACGCAGTATTTATGTTATACATAGGAAAAAGTATGTAACATAAATACTGCCACTTTATCGAAGAACTTCTTCCTTACAGTAACTATTTAAATTTCATAATTTGCGCATGGACAATAGAGGCTTTCAAAATTAAAGATTCTCACTATGTTTTACTAGTAAATTTCGAGGAGCGACCAATATTTTTGACCCAGCATATGTATATGACGTTGTAATCAATCTCGTTAAATAAAATCAAATCATGTGACTACCCTAGTTTGGTAGCCTCAGACTTTATTCATATTTCTTACCTAATTTTGTGTCTTAATATAAGTTTACATGACGCTAAAATCGGTAGCAGAATATAATGCTTACAAGTTATAGATAACTTAGACATATTAATGTGTTTCTTTTTTAAATCGAATCTATTTTGCAACCGTTACACAAAGGTACCTAATATTGAAAACAGTGGATTGTCTAATCATTATGTTCAGTAACGGTCCAGCCGCAGAACCCATTAATTATCAGCCCATCCAATGCTCCGATATCAAAAGTCGCAAACAAATATCAAAGCTTAAAGGTTTCTCTCAAATATCCAACGGCCATGGAACCTCGTTTTGGTCAAGACCTTCAGTAGAGACGAATACTGGATGTGACATATATTTGGTGAAATTAGTATTAGCGTATTATTAATATCTAGCAACCGAAGGCTAAACAAACGTTACCTTTTTGTCTTTCAAATGTTTATAGATTAACGAAAAATTCAGCAAATTTCAATGCGTTAACGAGAAAGACTTTTCGGCAAATTCCAATACGTTAATGAAAAAGACTTCCGGTACAATTTCAATGCGTTAATGAAAAAGACTTCCGGCACAATTTCAATGCGTTAATGAAAAAGACTTCCAGCACAATTTCAATGCGTTAATGAAAAAGACTTCCAGTTGTTTTTGGTGAGTTAACGAAATTTCCTTGAAGGCGAATATTTCGAAATATTGTCAAATAAATAAATTCATGCCTTATTATAAAAATGACCAAGATGAAAGGAAAGGACAGTGTGAGACTCGACACTATACGAGTGGGGGGGGGGAAAAGTAAACAAGAATTTTGAGATTGTGATAAAAGACCAGAGACAAAGTGTGTATATATACATTATCAAAATGATGACGAAACATATCAAAATCAGATGTTATTGGTTGATTATGTCGCAGTCCTTTCTCAAAATATCAGTAATCGTCCAACCATCTTTTAATATGTTAACTAGCTTCTGCTTGACAGTTAACGTTATAATTTTAATCTTGAAATTTGAACAGTTCCTAATCGAGAACATGTCCACGTCAATTGAGCGCGCAATAAACATAAGAATCAATAATTAAATACTAAATATTTATATTTCGGCAATCTGCGTTCAAACGCAAGTAACACTAATGCTTGTATTGAATAAAATAAGAGTTAGAATAAATTATTGTCTATAATTTGTCGTTCGTGCACACGTTTCTTCAAATACACAAATTCTCATAGTCGATCAAATACAAACTAAAAGTATTCAAACATAAAATGCAATTAGCTGCTTGCAAACACTACCTGAGATCAAGAGAGAAGAGCACAGCCAATTCAAGTGAAAAGGTTGAATGCACAGTAAAGAGAAAACTACAAAAAGTATTATAAGAATGCGTTATTCTACACAAAATGGACGTATAGGCAAATTTACAGAAGAGACGAGGAACTAGTGCAAGAAGTATGGCTAAATTCCATGTAATGTTGACTTGAATAAAGTCTTGGAACGCTTCTCGTTTGATACTTCTGCACTCTGAGCCGATTTCTATGGTTCCACAACCATTGAGCCGTGTCACGTGGTAATAAAAACCATGTTAAATTTTCAATTATGGAACAAAAGAGAGAAGTTTACGTCACAGATGACAGTTATAGGAAGAGCCATCGGGCAGGCACTAGAATACCAGCTCAAGCTTAGACCTATACAATGTTGTCGGACGATGTTGTTTGCTGAACTTGTGGCAGATAAACCGTATTCTGCAATCAGCACAAAAGTTCTAATGCGCTCTTATCAACGTTCATCGGTCATTCAAAAATCCAATGACGGAAAATCTTTGATTGTTCATATTGATGGTTGTGCAATCAATAATGGCCAACCTGATGCTCGAGCTGGTATAGGTGTATTTTGGGGTGAAGATGATCCAAGGTTTTTGAACAAATTACTCTTCGTATTAGCTGTTTTGGTGAATGATTCTATGATTAATCTTAATATTGTGCCTACCCTTGATGATAGGAACTTGAATGAACCATTGGAAGACGGTAGACAAACAAATCAAAGAGCTGAAATTATGGTACGTTGAAGGAGGAAATCGAACATGCTTGTGTGGACTTCTAATGTAAATGAATGGAACGTTGTAGACGTAGATTGCTCTTTTTCTTCTAATCCCGTCGACTTATTTAATAGGCAGCAATCCGTGCCTTGGAAACTTGTAATGATACAAAATCGGCTTTGTTAGTGTGCACTGACAGCATCTATTTAAAGAAGGGTATGTTATCATGATCTTTTAATCTTTGTTCTAAATCACTCATGATCGTTCTTCACATTCTCTTAGCGTACCAAAAGTGGATAACGAAGTGGGAAGCGAATGAAGAAAAGAATGAGAACGGTGGATGGAAGACATCGAACAACAAACCAGTGGCAAACGAAGATTTGTTCCGAAGGTTGATCGCGCTTATTAGGTCAAGAGAAGGAGTGGTTAATATTGTGAGTCGTTTGAATCACTGACTGATAGGGTGACAACACAACCATATATTGAAATTATATTTACTAAATATGCTTCCAAAGAAATGGGTGAAGGCACACCACAAATCGAAGGCTAATATTGCAGCAGACAAACTGGCCAATCTGGGCGCATCGAAGAGTAGTAATACTGCTACCGCTTCGGCTGCAGCTAAATTAGACTCTATCGTCAAGAAACCCAAAAGGCAAGCTGTCAACTGTGAGAAGAAGGATCAGGACAAGATCTATTTATTGCTGTCATCTCTGGTCTTCCTTCTTTCAGACGTTATTTCTCCAATAGTTCTTATCATGAAAGAGTCACTTTGTTTGCTACTAGTCAAATGCCTCTTCTATTGCTAACGCTGGCTCACCATCTATCAATGCTAATGGCAGTAGTTTAACAAAAAAAAGTACGAACGACCATCCGGACAATCTAACGAAGTTTACAATTATAGATTTACGCGGAATGCGGCCGTCGAAACGGAAGAAGCAAATTAATTACGTTTTCTTGAGCTGATGGGAGTGTAAATATGATGATGCATGAAGCTCAGGAGGTAGGCAAGGTGGCGACAGATCAAGAGATGTGGGTATTATCACCGATGGGCGAATGTCTTACTTTTATCTCTTCCTTCCCTAAAATACTAAGCGGTCTATGCCAATTTAAAAAGAACTTGTTATCGAACTATGATATCCAAGTTTATGGCTTCATATCAATTTATCAAACATTATTAGCTGCTGTTCATTACGGATGGAATCAAGAGAGTCAGGTATATCAAATTTATTGTTATAAGAACATAGTGTCAATGTTATCTATAGACCTTTGGCCAATTTTTCCTTACTAATGATTAAGATAATATTGTGCCTGATTGTTTGTCTGCAAGGATCTATTATATTATTATTACGGATATATAAGATCTCAAATAACCTTTTGTCCCTTTTTTAAACAGCTCTAATGCATCCACTCTATCGGACGATTCCGCCAGATTTTAAGAATACATGAGAGATTACGGTATGTGAAGGAATCTCCCTTTGAAGTTGAATGTTAGAGACATGAGCAAATTCCTCAATTACGTCCTTACATGCTAGACAATATTTGATTCCGTAAATGTTATTTACTAAACTCGCTTCTGATAATTTCCTTTCTAATCTCTTCACGGCCGAATCCACATTTTTAATTGTTCTCCTATCTTAGTAATTTGGTTACCATAAACATCTATTTCCTCTACCTGGGGGGGGGGGGCAGTTTATGATAGTTAATTTTATTCCCATCTTAGTCAATCAAATTGTCAGAATTTTAACATAAAAATTAGCTTAACAATATCGCGAATGGGCAAACCTATCATACGCGTTCTGACAATAAATTGATGCTAGAAACCATGTCCGGTATTAATATTAATATAGAATTTTTTTTACGTGCGACGTAACGGTAATAGTATAGTTAACACTAGCAATGCAATAAATTGATGATCAGGTTCATTTTCCGCCAATAAGATGTCAGTAATATATAGTAATAGACCGCATCATCTGAACATAGCATAGTCTATTTCTTGTACATATTATGTCAATCTACTCAAATATATCGAATCTTCCTCTTCTCTGTCTTTCACAGATAATCTCTCACTTGTCCGAGAGTAGTGGCGACCTTTACTCATGCTTGCTTGTTAACCAAATGTGGAGCGAATGCGCTGTTGTGCATCTATGGCATACACCTTTCTATTGGAGCGGTCATAAAGCAGGTGCAATGGTAAAGTCGTTTTTACAGCTACTACCAAGTGATTGTTTTGAAGATTTGGAATATTTAATGGGAATTCACATGCCACCTCGGAATACACAACCGACGTTTAGCTATCTAAGTTTTATTCGTACAATGAAAATTATCTATTGCATTAATGCAGTAGAATTCTATCTTGACATAGTCAATGCTATGATAGGTCTGGACAGTTTCTCTGAAACGGATACACGGTTATTGCTTTTGCGATTGTGCAAGGGAATTGTCGCAAACTGTCCTTCATTAAGGGAAATTGATTTGACAGGTCTAAGTTTCGATGACAAATTTCACAGCTATAAATGGACCGCCAAATCCTGGAATTTTTTTAACGTCGGAGGCATAAAACCCAATCTCGGGCAGTTGAAGCGGCTCGATTATTCACAAGAATTCCATCCAGATATTCTCCATAGTGCTGCAGAGTGCTTAACTAGCCTTGAATTTTTCAAATTTGATTGGTCATATTACACTTCATGTGTTAATGATGCCATATGGTGTGATGCTGTTGGCAAACTTATATGTAACCAAAGAAATTTAAAGGCTGTACAACTCAACCTCGATTTTAAGCCTCAAGAAATTAGCTTACAGCAAATCGGAAGTGCATTAAGCACTCAAGCAAGGAGTCTAGAAAGAGTTGAGATACCTTATGCTAATTCAGATATTTATTACATAATCAATGCTTGTGCTCTATGTACAAACCTTTATTATGTTGAACTGTCTAATTGCATGTTATGCCCACAATCTCCTTTGCAGTTAGCATCAGATGCATTTTCTAATCTTGGTATTCTTAAACTTGAGACTGTTTCAACCAATGATTATGGTATTTATGCACTGCTTGGAAATGTAAAATCATGCTTGGAAATTCTGTCTGTAAAACGTGTTAAGGGTATATGTTTTGATATAAACTTGTGGAAAGAGTGTGCCATATGTACACCAAGCCTTACTGATTTGGACATTATACTGGAACCAGGAGAGACTGTCTTATTGCTACAAAACGTTCTGCCCTTATGGCAACATCTAAATAGGTTGTCCATTTGTATTTGGAGAATTTATTCTTGTTATCAAGGTTATGAATTACTGTCAAAGTCATTATCATTGCTTGGATCAAATTTACCAAGTACAGTGAAATTTCTCAAGCTAGATATTTTTTATCAACTACCATGGTCAGCATTTAATACATTTTTATCTACCTGTTCAGCAAAGCTTGAATCATTCTATATTTTAATTGATGATATTAATGATGACTTTGTTAAGAATCTATTAGAACATATGGGAGACAGTTTAAAGTCAATTTACTTAGAAGGTAAAGGAAGCATATCTACTGAAACAAGAATAAGATTGGATTCTCAACTTTCCAAGGTTGTAATCAACTTGCACTGAACTGATCTGGTTATAACAATTGAAATATGGTTTACAAGAGCTTCCTGTTGGGTTGAGATAGTAATATAAATAGGCAAGAGAACAGAAGTGGTAGAGACACAATTTGAGCTTATTGTGTTTTCGATTTTTTCAGTCAATAAATAATAATAACCAATATTATGAGTATCATTGTCACTAATATAATACTAACTGTCAATTCTTGGTTAGTCTGAGCAAATACATTTTAGTTTGCGCTTTATACATTATGCTGATTTCTACTATGTCAATTGTAAAATTGGTCTTTGAGAACATTGAACCTGCATTCTATATAAGTAAAGACATAAATTCTATTGATTTGATATTGTATGCATGCTGTAATTGATGTTCTACCATGTATATTGGCCAATGTTGACAAGCAGTAATAATAATAATATAAATAGGTACGATATTAATGCGACTTTATTTCCAAGCTACGATATCCTGTTGACAGGCTCGCTAAAGCTAGTTTTAACATGACA